TTAAAATTGAATTTTTGTGGTCAAAATTGGATTTTTGTGGACAAAATTGATTAAATTGAGGTTACAATTAAAAATTTGGTATAAATGGTTGGGGGTAATATTGGAATACACATGAATATTTTTCTTTATTTATAATAAATATTAGGGATGTTGAGGGATAACTGTTAGGATAGTAGACTAAAAGTCTCGCTTTTAGCTTCATAATTTTATTATTGAATTAATAAAATAATTTATTATCATTTTATGAGAATCTGCACTAGGGTATTCAATGCATTTAATTGATTGGTTGTCAATTAATTAAAAGCATAAGTCTAATATTCTAATAGTATTCGAGATGGTGTGCTACGGCGCACAGAAAGATCATTTCGAAAGTTCGTTTAGAATATAAAGATAAACGTTCACAATCTAGATGGAAATGGACTAACCATTGGTAAAAGATTGTAGCACAATGTTTAAGTGATTGGTCTTGATCACAGTAAACAGAGAATAACTTTTGTAGTTATTGTTTTGACTTATTGTGCTAGCACACCCGGCATGTGTTGAACCGGACAAAGTGAAATAATTGTTTCATCACTGTTCATAAATGAAACTGTATTATTTCTAGTTGACAGTATATTACTTACTCTCTTAATCCCTAGATAATTAACGTACACATTTAATTGATGATCTCTACTTTGATGTCACAATGGGAGAGATTCCTATATTGAGTCAAATGAACCCCGGTGCGTTGGGTAGAGACATTAAGAATTAATAGGTGGAAATTAATTATCGAAAGGAATCCACATCTCTGAAATATGGGATTGATAATAACCCTTGAGTAGCTTATAAGATTTGTTTATGCCAAGTCCTGGCCAGGTGGATTTCGTATCCGGCATACTCAAATAAGTTAGGCGGGTAAGACTCATGAAAAGAAACCATTTAATTTATTTAGCAGTGAATAAATTATTTGGTGGTTATAAGATATTTTAATGTGGGGAGAATCAAAGTAATGATCGACACCGGAGCTCGAATGTAATATTTGAGAATATAAACGGGAGTTCAATAATTATTTGGTAGTGGAAAATAAATAATTATTTAAAGATTAATTAAATGAATTCTTTTAAGAGTTTGGATTTAATTAATTATTAGTTGCCCGATTTATATTTTCTCCTTTAGTCCCTATTGTAGCCCAATGGATTTTCTAATTAATCGAGAAAATAAAGTTCAACTAATATTATATATTGGAATTAATATAGCCGAAAATTAAGTCCCCTTTGGATTGTAATTTTCGACTATATAGAGTTATAGAAGGAGTGGGATTTGTTTCCATGTAATCCTCTCTATGTGGGACTTTAATTCCTTGTGTTATATATAATGGAGATTAGGTTGATGAGAGAATAATTTTTATTCCCACACGCCTATTCACGTTGGAGAAGAAAATATTTTTCTCTTCTTCTCTTCTCTCTAGTTTCTCGATTATAGATTTAGATTTCTTCAAGTACAAGTCCACCCTTGTAGAAGAATTATTAATCCGGGATATACAATAGAAGATTATAGGTTTTTAGAGCAAACCATAAATCCCGAATTTTCTGAGCAGTCCTGCGAAGAAATTCACCATAAATCAACCGTTAGTCGGATAGGCTCGAAATGTATACAGTAGCTTCCTAACCCTCAGATCTACAATCTGTCCGAAGGGTTTCTCGATCGGATCAACGATCGCGGAGATATCGATGAAGGAAGAGGACTGGAAATTTCTGGACAGCAGCTTTTACGAAGGTTGAAGGCTTGACGTGGATCCTCGTTCGTGCGCCGAAGATAGAAACGAATCTGCTCGCGAAAACTGTAAGTTGCTAGATTAGATTTATTCCGCTTTAAACGAATGTAATCAAAGCATCTTAATAAAATTAAAACCGGCTAATCTAGAACCTCTTGCGAATTTTCATTGAATCCTGGGCTTAACATCCCAACAATAACTCCCTCAATACACAAAATAATAGAGTCCAGGCTCATTTTCATATTTAACATTTGTAAGGAAATCTAAATTAACATTGGGAATTGTGAGACCCCATAACGTGTTTATTATTCCAATTTTGTCCTTTATTCCCCCACTATTTCTCTCTCTCTCCTTTTTTTTTCTCAACCGTCCTTTTGACGTGTTGTTTTTTTATTATTTTTCTTTTCTCTCTCTCCACTCTTCTCTCTCTTCCACAATTTTCCGTGTTGTTCTTTTATTAATTTTATTCTCTCTCCTCTCTCCTCTCTCTTTCTTCTCTCTCTCTCCTTTCTCTTCCCGCATTTCTGTTCTCGTTTGTTTCAGTTTCATTTTTTCTCTTTATTTTCCTCTATTTCTTCTCACTACTTTATCTTTTCTTCTACATCTCATTTTTTTGTCGTTGAAATCAATCTATTTCTATTCTATGAAATTCATATTTTCATCGGAGATGAGACTTTTATCATGAGTATTCAATTTTATAACATCATAGTATCTTAAATTGAAAAAAGAATATAGTGAATTAATGGAAAAATTATAGATGACTACCAATTTTTTTATAGTTGACATCTTGACTCTGGCAACAATATAGTAATTTTTGTAGTTGACTCTGCAACAATATAGTTAACTACCAATTTTTTATAGTTGACATCGTAAAAATTATAGTTGACTATCTAATTTTTTATAGTTGACTTTGGAAAAAATATAGTGAACTATCCGATTTTATAGTTGACTTCGGAAAAAATATAGTGAACTATCCGATTTTATAGTTGACTCTGAGTGTAGATTACTATAATATTTTATGTTTTTCGACAACAATAATCCCCTTTTTGTTGTGGACTCTTGATAAAATAAATTTCATAGGAAACAAATATTTACGATTCAACAAATAATACGACCAGAGATCCGTAGATCTAAAAAACAAGCTTGTTTACAAACTTCATTTTTGAGTAATCAACCATGGAAGAATTATGAACCGTTGCATATGGTCGTCGCGTACTGTTGCATATCGTTGATGTATGAGACTTTGATTTGTTCTTCGGAGTCGCTGAGAAGGGTGTCAAAAACAGAAATTATGTGGGAAATGTACATAGATTAGGTTAATAGATGTCGAGGGGAGCGATGGGTGTATAAGAAATTACCTGTCTTCTTCTTGCTACCTTTCACCATTGTTGTCGACCTGTATTTCTCAACGATTCCCACACAAATGTTATTTTTTTTAAGAAATGTAAGAAACTAGGACATTGTTGTGACTGGGAAAGCATCCAATATATTTGCAGATTTGTTTTGTTATTTTCTTGGCACAAATATAGCTAACTAGCAAAAATTGGGGATATAATATATTGACGTTGAAGATATGCAGTTTTAGGGAAAATAGTGGGGGGTCATTGCTATTAGAAATTATGAGGGTAGTTCAGTAATTGCTAATTGTGAGGGGGTTTGACCCATTATGGTTAGTCCTAATATTTTTCCTAATGAGGGGTTATAACTTATATCTCATTAACCCTAAATATTAAAGGGATGGGTTATTAAAAGAGATATAACCCCTAAAACTAGAATAATAAAGATGATTGGTTGATGACTTATTATTCACAAAAACCCCTTATTTAAATTGTTTATAATGAAATAATGTCAGATTATATTTTTAGTATTTTAAAATGAGTATGCAAATTTTCTGAAATTCTAGATATTTAGAATTATTTATAAAATTAAATTGACTCAAAATTAGAATTTTACATTATAAATAAAATAATTTAGAATGTAAAGTAAGGAAAAAAAATGACAACAAGAAAGAGACTTGACAAAAGTTAAAATACCATGATATCTTGACTTTGTTTTCATTAAAATCCCATATGAAATTTATATTGTACGTGGGCATTTTGACATGAGATACGTCACTTGAGGGTACTTTACCAATTCTAAAATTTTAGGGTTCAAAGTGTCTATTAATATTATTTTGGGGTGCAAAACATAATTTAATCAAATGAATTGAATCATAATTGAGGGGTGGAAATTGGAATCCGAGTTAAAAATTTTCGATATTGGATCCATATTTTTCAATTCGAATTTTGAAATTCCGACTTCCAAATTATTTGGAGCGGAATTAAAATATATATATTCCGATTTCCGATCCGATTTATGTTCTGAGAATAATTCCGAGAATGCCACTTTTTTTTTTTTCTGAATATCACACTTAAAATATCAATATTGTTATGTATCCTATATTTCAAGTACCAAAAATTGAAAATTCATGAATTCTACCGATTCCGATCCTAAAGTTGTCAATTATGGAACAAGTTTTTCCATTCAAATCCGAACTTCCAATTTCCGATTTTTTCAATTTTTTTTGAAACGGAATTAGAACTAATTTTTCACTTGTAAATTTTTTTCTTTTGTTTTCAAAATGACTAATTTCGACCCGAATTCGACAATTCGTTCAACTTACACCCGTAAAATAATCATATGGTAGCAGATTGGATGGATAGCATTTGGTGTGGCGCAAAACTGTGACATAAATGACAATTGAATTTCTATTAATTTATACAGTGCAATCCATAGTGGACATTAAATTATTATTAATTTATTTTCTTGCAGTAGTAGGTATAGCTTGTGGTAGGGAATAGGGACTGTTTGGCTAATTCTTATTTCTGAAAATAATTTTCCCGTTTCATTTTAACGAGAAAGAACAAAGGGTATATTACACCAACACCCCTGAGATATGCTAAAATAATTTTAAGGTCCATGTGGTATTGGTAATTGCAGCCACATCCCTATACTATTGTCGAAGCCAAGATCTCATGTCCCGGGGACGATATGCACTATGTTTGTTTCCCTCGGGGGCGTTAACCATAGTCTGTTAGAACCCAAACAAAATAACTTATCCAATACATTATTCCGTTAACAATGTTTTAGGGGTGATTGTAATTATCGATAATACATGGACCTTAAAGTGATTTAGCATACCTCAGGGGTGTTGGTGTAATTTTAGCTAAGAATAAATAAAGTAATAGAAGCAGCACTCAGCAAATTTAACCAACTTTATTCTTGCACATTGTACAAATCGCTGCGCCTACCTAACTCTTCAATCTTCATACACACCTCCATTCTTCCATCTCAATCAATCCAATCCAATCCAATCCAATCCAATCCAATCCAACCCCACTCACTCACTCACACACACTACTGATTGTTGCTTTTATTGCAAGTAAACGCAGAAGCTCAATAAACCAGATCTCTCTTCCGATCGAAAGAAATGGCGAGGAAGAAGATCAGAGAGTACGATTCCAAAAGGCTGCTCAAAGAACACCTCAAACGATTGTCCGGAATTGATCTCCAGATCTGCTCCGCACAGGTTTTTTTTTTAATAGCTCTTTTAACTTGTATGATTTGTTTCTGCTTGACATTTTGCATCGCATTTTCTATATGTTTTTTGTAGTGTGTGTGTGTGTGTGTGTGTGTGTGTGTGTGTGTGTCGAAATTTGTATCCTGGATTGAAATTGGCATCAAATCTGTTAGAATTGTGCACCCGTTCGCTTACGAAAACCGATATGGATGTGTGTGTGTGTGTGTGTATTATTGAATTATGGTGATGTACCTTGTGTACTTAGCATGGAATAATCTGGGTTAGTGAGACGAATGATTATTTCTAAAATAATAAATTCCACTTGAAGTTGAAAGATTAATCATAGGCTCATAGCTGAAGAAATCTTAGGATACATAATCATATCAAATTAAATTGTATGGTGGCGCTGGTATTTTATCACGAGCAATGGAAGCGTGACGCACCTTTTTTTACCTTTTTTTTTCTTTTCTTTTATGTAATTTCTCTTTGTGGGTAGTTGGAATAGAAGTCTTGAAATTTACCTCTGGTGCATCCTGTTTTGGTCCTCAAATTAAGCCGGTGTTAGAAATATTTGTTAGCCCCGTTTATTGCTCCTGTGTGTGATGATGGTTTAGCTGATTTTTATTTGCTGCCTTTTCTCCGTTGATGCTTATTTTTTTATTAAAATTCTATGTAACTACTTTGCAATTCTAGTGCATGTTTGAGCATAATTTCAAATGGTAATGGCCGATAAAATCTGTTCTCAGGTGGATCAATCAACTGACTTTACTGAGTTAACAAACAAAGAACCATGGTTGTCATCCACGAAGTTGGTTGTAAAACCCGACATGTTGTTCGGGAAAAGAGGGAAGAGTGGTTTGGTTGCTTTGAATTTAGATCTTGCCCAAGTAGCCGCGTTTGTGAAAGAACGCCTCGGTGTTGAGGTGACAGCATTTACATAGATGTTTCCTTATTGCTAATTATGCTAAAGCTGCCGTCTAATTCGGAAACATTCTTTTTTTTTTTTCTAGGTTGAGATGGGTGGTTGTAAAGCACCGATAACTACATTCATTGTCGAGCCTTTTGTCCCCCACGATGAAGAATATTACCTTTCCATTGTGTCTGAAAGGTTAGGATGTACCATTAGCTTCTCTGAATGTGGAGGCATCGAAATCGAGGAGAACTGGGACAAGGTAAAAATTGCAGCAAATCGACATTGTCTCAAATTTAAGAATGTCGTGTGCATTTCTCGAAGAAAATGAGGATGTATTTATTTGTTGTTGTGCAGGTTAAAACTATCTTTCTTCCCACTGAAAAGCCGATGAACTTGGAAGCATGTGCTCCTTTGATTGCTACACTTCCCTTAGAGGTAGGTTTTTGAGTAATTTTGCTATTTGTTTGTAGTTAGTAATTTCCCTTATTTATTTTCTGACACATAGCCATTGGGGAAGTAAGTTACCATGATGTTTTAGTCTTGCCTTATTAAATGTGATTCGTAATGTACGATTTGTAACTTCTGTACCGATACACTGGATAGTGGATAGAAATCATGTCTCTTTTGTACTATGATGGTCTGGTTTGTCGGACATACATTTGCTTTTTGCGAATTTGTTTTACAATTAATGCACTATTCAATTGCTACTACTTCTTCAACACAATATCCTGAATTTTCATTGGTTCAGGTTCGAGGGAAGATTGGAGATTTCATAATGGCTGTTTTTTCTGTATTTCAAGGTATGCTTTCTTCGCGATTGCAAACCGATTGTTATTGCATTTGTGCTAGTGACGTATATATCTAATGTAAAGATAGAAAATATGATTTATGTTCAAACTTTGGTTCTGATATATGTATTCTCTCCAATCTCTGAATTAGTTTCCTTGAGATGAATTCGTCTTAAGAAACAAAATCTGACCTTGATTGCTATATTCCCACCAGATCTCGATTTTAGTTTTCTTGAGATGAATCCATTTACTCTAGTGAATGGTGAGCCATACCCACTGGACATGAGAGGAGAATTGGACGATACTGCTGCTTTCAAAAACTTTAAAAAGTATGTTTATGAATTGTATAAATCTTTTGTTTCTTTACGATTTATGCTTATGTAACGTCTTTGAACATTCTGTTTCCAGATGGGGTGACATAGAGTTTCCTCTTCCTTTCGGAAGAGTTTTGAGTGCAACAGAAGGTTTCATTCACACGTTGGACGAAAAAGTAAGTGCCATATATATCTTTTACTTCACAACTTTTTGGCACCTGATCTTTTGCTGCATTTCAAAAACTTGCTATCTGTTAGTACTTTATCCGACAAAGTCATTAGCTTAATAACCTGAAAGAGGACCGTAACTTCCGTTCATGCCATTCACGAAGTCCTACAAATATATAGCTGGTGTAATCAAGATTTATTATTTTTCATGTGATTCATTCATTCCAGCTGTTCAAAAGTACAAGGTTTTTTGGATTACACGGGCACCTCCTTATCTGCAATAGTCATCCTCCATCCGATTTAGAATTAAATAATTTATCTGCATGTCTACTCAGCACCACGTACTTTTTCCGTATGTCATGTTTCAGACTAGTGCATCGTTGAAATTTACCGTTCTGAACCAAAAAGGACGTATTTGGACAATGGTGGCTGGTGGTGGTGCTAGTGTAATATACGCAGATACAGTGAGTACCCAAACTTTGTCTTCTACGCATCTCCAATCCAACAAACCAGTAGCCGAGTATTTGATCGTATTTTTTATTTCATTATTTTCGTTTTTTCCATGTACTGAAAACAAAAGGTTGGAGATTTGGGCTATGCATCTGAGCTTGGTAATTATGCCGAGTACAGTGGAGCGCCTAATGAAGAGGAGGTTTTGCAGTACGCCCGAGTAGTTATTGATGTAAGAGAGATTTAGCTCCATTTTTTTCTTCTGTTCCACCTATATTACTGTATAATAATATAATAATATAATAATATGCTCTTCCTACTGTTATAGTGTGCAACAGCTGACCCTGATGGCCGCAAGAGAGCTCTTCTTATTGGAGGAGGAATTGCAAACTTTACGGATGTTGCTGCTACCTTCAATGGAATTATCCGTGCTCTCAAGGAGAAGGTTTAAATTTAATTGAACTAATCTGATGCAATTTGATTGTTTTTTAATATATATTCCTCCTGAATTTACAATTTTTTCGTTTTTTTTATTTTTTTTTTATTTTTTTGTGGGAGTAGGAATCGAAGTTGAAAGCAGCTAGAATGCACCTCTATGTTCGTAGAGGCGGTCCAAATTATCAGACTGGTTTGGCAAGAATGCGGGCTTTGGGAGAAGAATTGGGAGTTCCGATCGAGGTACAGGATTATTTTTTATAAACTTGTAATATTCATTTTAGTTTCTCTTTGCTACTTCGTTCGATTTTGTTTAACTGAAGCCTTATGGTTTACCAATGGACTAGGCAATAATCTTTCAAGCACAAGATTAGCTCTCCGTTTAGGCTATTGTTAAATGAATTTTGACCAATCATAAGAACCATCTTCTTGTTTTCGAGGCTCTGACTTCATTGTAATGAAAAAAACGTAGACACTTGTAATCCTAAGAAATGCATGCATTATGATTAGGACTTGTTTGGTTGCTAATATGATTAGCGGAGATAAAATACTTGCAATTAGGTATCAATTGTATATAGTTGGACTATGGATATTTCAGTGCAATGCATAACTCCCCAATAAGTTAAGAAATTTGCAGGTTGACTCGAAAAGTTATTGGACTAATCAAATAATACCAAATAATGTCTAGTTATTTAATCAATCATGACATGTCTCCCCAACCAAACAAGGCCTTGATGTATGTATATAGGATTACAAAACCCTTGTCCATTATTATCATCTTTCAAGTAACATAAGTAGTAATTGATGTGCAGGTTTACGGACCAGAGGCTACAATGACTGGAATTTGTAAGGAGGCGATCGACTGCATCATGTCTGAAGCCTAGTGTAACAATGTGTTTTCGTTTTTCTTATTACTCCATTATTCTTGAGTTGTAGTATTTGTTGTTGAATTGCCCCTTCATACTCGAACTGTAATATTGGTTTCTTTTTTCCGATCTCCTGTTTTTGTGAGACCCAAAACAATTTTTCTGCAATAAGAGCAATGTTTGAGAGAAATACGAGTGTACGAGCAAAAACGATCTCATAGATGTTTACTCAGGTGACTAAAAAGGTTAACAAGCTAAGGTTTTCATTTCTATGTATCTTAGTTCAGGTCAACTGTATTGCTAGCTAGCATCTTAATTAATCATGCATCATACTCTTTCTACCCAGGTCTCGGTTGGTCGGGGGATTAGTCATGATTAACTAAATAACTGGATCTTGTTAGATATTTGGTAAATCCAATAACTTACGCGCGTCGACCCGGAAACATTATGTTACCATCAGTTAAATTATATTATTGAGTTTTCATTAGATTGTTTAATCTTATTTTGACAACCAAACAAAACTTTATTATAAATAAATAAATAATATGCCTATTATTTCAAGAAAGGCTAACCATGCAGCATAGGGCTAGGCTAAAGCCAGAGCCGACCCTGGGGTGGGGCGAGTAGGGCCCACGTCTAGCCAAAAAATGAGATTTCTTGCCGAATCCGAGTTTGCTGCTCCAGCCATTACTAAGCTGACACATATTTAGAAGGATGTTTCCAAATTTAGAAGGATTACTGAATTAGGGTTTTCAGTTTTAAAAATTGAAAATCGAGAAAAGACACTCGTATCGACGAGGGCGTTACAGTGATTCCGAAAATATAATTGTTATAATTTTCAGATCATTGGTTTGTGAGAAACGAGCAGAAAAAGACTAACATACTTAAGCTGTTGGACTCGGTCCAACTTAAGTTGGTTAGGACTTGTATACAAGACACTACAAATACAAGATTTATAGGTTTTGCACACAAGAGAGAAACCCTAGCCGCTCCACACTCAAGACAATATAAACAACGTCGTTTTGTTTATATTGTGTAGGATGATAAATTAATAATATATAATACATGAATAAAATATCTCTTACATGTCAAAACTTATATTTATAACGATGACATAGTCTCGTTTTGCATCTAGTTATCAATTTTATTTAAATATTGCTTTATAAAGCTTTGGATTTAGTTACTGTTTTTAATGGATTTATGGCTAAAACGTATTAATTTTGATTTACCCTTGATATTTATCACTGATGTTATTCACGTTGGTTTAAATTTAGATTTTACGCTTAGCCACTCTTTTCAATTTTTAATTAATTTCACGTAAAACTTATAAATTATTAAAAAAATAACATGATTAAATTATGACGCGTTTCGACCCGTGAAGGTTGGATCCTACTATAAACCAGCCATAGACCCTATTGGCGCCAGATTCCTGTTAGTGAAGACTGAGGAAATCTACCATTAGTTTCGAATTAAAAGATTGGCAAAGATTTGTTTCCATGTTTATTTTGGAATTAATTAGAGTCCTATCCTTGTAATATTTTTATTAGGACTTATATTTATTTCCATGTATTATATTCTAGTTAGGTATCTTTTGTATTTATCTAGAATAAAAGTATAAATCGACTAGGATTCTATTACCTAGTTAAATCAATTTCTTTAGGCTCAAGTTAGGTTTAGGGTGGTGAATTTAGTGCTTATATAAAGCCCTCAACCTCATGTGAGTACCATGGAGCTTTAATCGAAAAATCCCAGCATAAAGGCTCTCGGGAGAGGTCGATCCGCCGTCTCAAGGGAGTCCAAGATTGCGGATGGAGGAATTGATTTGAATATCAACAAGTTCGAGTTGTGTGCAAGAACGGCATATAACATAAAGATGGAGTCTTTAGTGTTTTTATTAAATCCAATATTGTACATTTAAATCTGAACTAGTTTGCAAGTCCTCGTGGATGTAGGGTACATTTGTATCCGAACCACATTAAATTCTTGTGTTCTTTTATTTTTCTTTTAGTAGATTAATTATGTATACACACAAGAATTCTGTTACCACACCTAATGTCGTAACAAGTAATCTGTCTCAGCCGAACGAGTAGATTTTTATTGGCATATAAATCAACAATTTGGCATCAGAGCCGGTCACTAGATATACTTAGTGACTGATTTTGGGAATTTATTTATTTGCTTTGCTTATTCGATGACGCGTGTTCACAAGGAAGGTTGAGACGGATGTTGAGAAAAGTTTGTCACGATATTCACTCAATTCCGATGCGTTGTAACTGTTAGAGTAGGTGACCAACAAGCCAACTTGTGGCTGTGGTCTTTCCGTTTATTCTTGTAATAAATAATCTTTTTTCGTATTAATGATCAAACACCTTGGCATTCTATATCTTTGTCCCTTTGTCTCAAACATAGATATAATCCTTACAGTTATTACAAGTACTAGTAATTGATCTTTAGGATCGTGAGATATTTGTTTTAGTATTATTACTGTTAAACGTGTTCCTTGTCGAAGGGTTACGCCACCAATGAGGATATCGGCCTTTCCCATTAAGAGACTAGCACTTAGTGTATGTGTACTGGATCTCATCAGTAAACGGTATTGTGATATCGGCATGCATAAGTGGGTGCTCGTAAGTTGACGAGTTCACTGAATTCCCTCACCCTAGAAATTTCTAAGTGGTTCTCCATAATCGAGTAGATATATCTATGGTATAGTTGTACACCATTAGTCCTTATGACCTAGACATCACCATGACTTCACTAGAGTACCAGCTGTATCGTGACCTATCCCTAAGTTCCACCGATGACCGCCCCAAGGGCCAGTGTTCGTGCATTCCGAAATCTAGTGGGAGGTTTGTGCATTGTAGTCGGGGATTCGATCGCTAGAATAGTCTTGGATGTCCTGTGTGCTCTCATAGTTTGTAATCTCTAAGTCTCTGGCCAGAGCTGAATAAAGTGATGATTAGAGTTTTTAATTCTCTAAGTCATGCACGTACTGATTACAACACTTAGAACGACCGCACAGTCATTAAACTACTAAGGAGGTCTCGATGAACCAATGTCTCTAGTTCAATCAGGACATATGAATCGAAGGGATCGTACTGTACGTTAACTATATCAAAAGGTTCTTGCATGCACTTCATTTGTATCTAGGGAATCATGACGCGTAGTTGCTAGACGCCAATCTTGATTCGTTGGCTGATTAAAGTGAAACGAGCTTCATCTTAATCGTAACTCTAAGGGACGAGTTTTGACCACAAAGGGTTGTAGACCCACGGCTAGCTTACACCTGAACCATCGAGGGTCACACTGCTCGTGCACTCGAGATCTTTGAATAAACGGTCAGAGATAAAAATGTTTGCATAATTGGAAGTCGATATTATTGAGTCCAACATTCGTAATATGGAATTATGAATGAGAATAAGAAAAGGAAAAGAATAGGCGAACATCTTAGTGATCTTTCTAAATCGGGAAGTTTCCAAATTTAGAAAGTGCACTGAATTAGGGTTTCCACTTTTAGAAAGTTTAAAATCGAGAATTGGAACTCGTAATGATGGGACATTATAATGATTCCGAAAATATAATCGTTACAATTTTCCGATCATTGAATTGAGAGAAACGAGCGAGTAAAGAACTAACGAACTTAAGCTGTTGGGCTCGGTCCAACTTAAGCCCGTTAGGATTTTTATACAAGACACTATAAATACTTGTTTTATAGGTCTTACAAACACACAACACATCTCACAAACCCTAGCCGCTCGTCTATCTCTCTCGGCCAATCTCATCCACGACCGCCGCCGTCGTCGCCGTTTCGTCGCCGGAATCGGCCCCCTTTGGCCGATTGTCTTGGTAGTTCTTTTCCTCTTTTCTTTTCTTCCGTCTACTCTAACTTTTGCATGTCTAGTGCCACGTATTTAGTAGATCGAAGTATACGAGGTGAAATCCGAGAGGAGGAAGATCGAAAAATCGAAGAACCGATGAACAACCCCGATCCGACGACTCATGCTTCGCCGTGTGCAAGAACGACATATAACATAAAGAGGGAGTCTATAGTGTTTTTATTAAGTCCAATATTGTAAATTTAACTCTGAACTAGTTTTCAAGTCCTCGTGGATGTAGGGTATATTATTTACAAGAAGTTATAAATTATATTTATTTAGTTGAAAATGAAGGTAGATTGAGTTTTAGAAGGTAAACTACGGGGTATGGGAGTTATTTTAATTTTATTTTGGTAAAAAATATTTTTTCGAGGCAATAATTTGAAATTAAAAGTAATGTTTGTTTATTATAATTTGAGATGAGATAAAATATACTGTAGCATGTAGCAGTCAAATCATATTTAAATGCGTTAGAAAATGGTATCTTAGAAGAAAATTTTAAAAATTAAAGTGATATTAAGTTGTATTTTAACGAGGACTTTTTTTACCGTAATAGTTAAATATTTTTACCGTAACAGTCAAATTATGTATGAAGTTAAGAAACCTTTTTGGAATTTATAAAATAATGTGGCCTCAATCTCCTCAAGTGAATAACTTTTAGGGTCTATTAGATATAACCCCTTTAAACATTCAAATAATAGGGGTAGACCCAAATTTATATTTGTCATTTTGATAACAGCCCAAACTTTTCCTAATTACATAATTACCCTCAATCAAATCCCACAAAACCCGTTACTTTACCTTTTGAAATAAAATCAAACCCCTTCCTATTTTCCCGTTAAATCACTATCATCCCAAACCCCACTATCGAATAAACTACAAAACCTCCCAGAACAAATTCCCGGTGCGGCCGATTAAAAGGGGAAGACGTCTGCACTGCCGTGAAACGACGATTTTCGTGCACTCCGAGCAAGCTGCCGTAGGTACGTCGTCGCCACTCGCTGAATCGCTATCATCCATCGATTTGTTGATATGTTTTGGCTAAATCGACTATCACGTTTGTGCATTTGCAGATCTGTTATAATCGCATACCGCATTCGAGCACTAAATCAGTGATATTGCAACAATTGATGGGCAGGACATCCACCAGAAGTGATATCGTCGTTGGTCGCCGCCGTCGCCGTCGCCGTCACTGCTCCAATCTAGGGTTACTCAAATATAGGATTACTCAAATCTAGGGTTTTTGATAATTCTTCGGCCCATAGTTGATTAACGAGATGCATAGTCGAATTACATCTGTATTAATATACTATCC